CTCATGAGTGCGGGTCCACGTCACGCGCGTTGCTGGGGTTAGGGTTAGAGCAGTAATAAAGCTCAGAGCCTCATGTGGATTTGGGCTGCAAAGCACATCCAAAAACACGTGCGGGTCAACAACAAGTGTGCCTGTAGGTCAAACATGTCTCTCATTCTTCATTTGCCCTGATAAGTCTAGGTCCTAGGATTAGGGTTAGCGCAGTGATGAAGCGCAGAGCCTCATATGGAATGTGCCTGCAAAAGACATCTAAAAAAGCATGCAAGGTAACTCCAAATCTGCCCATACAGCAACTTTTGTTTCTCATTCTTCCTTTGCCGTGATGAGTCCCGGTCTACGTCATCTGCTTTCATAGAGTTAGAGCAGCGATGAAGCACAGAGCCCCACGTGGAGTGTGCCTGCTAGGGATATCAAAAAGGACATGGCGGTCAACATGAAGTCTGCCTGCATGGCACCTTTTCTCTCTCAGTCTTCTGTTGCCCTGATGAGTCCGGGTCTTTGTCACCCAGTTTCCCAGGGGTAGGATTAGAGCAGGGATGTAGCACAGAGTCCCATGTGTCATGTGCCCCATGTGGAGCAGAGTGGTTGGACTCTAGAGAGAAGGGATCTCTAGAGGTGCCTTCCAACTCCACCATTCTGTGATTCTGTGATCCCCAGTCTTCAAGCTGGGGAGGTTCTACAGAATATTCAATAATATCACAGAGAAAGTACAAGGCCTGAACAATATTCAGTCCTTTTCATCAAGCTGGTTTTCTCTCTCCCTCAGGAGGGTTTCTCTCATGCTCCTAATTCATAATATTTCCCCAGGATAGTCCTACATGAAAGGGAATTAAATCTTGTGGAATGAATCCATCGGAAGTCTCAGATTTAAAGAAGTTAAAAGCAAACCCTCCTCCAAACCTGCAGGCTAATTAACTGTCCTTTGTCCACCTTTTTTCTCAGTTGTGTAATGATTTCTAGGGCACTCATCCTTCAGCAAAATCAGCCAAATGTATTTTTGCTTCTCTCTAAACAGATTCTAAAGGACCCAAAAAACCCAGCTCCAATCTTATAACTATTAGGACAGGTTTTTCTCTTGAAGGCAAGAAGTACAGAGTGGGGATTTGGCAAGGGAGCATCACGGCCTGGCCTGTTCTTCATCCCAACCCCTCATCCCATTTAAAACCTGGAATTATCACTGGCTATTATCAGTTAAATTACTTAGGAACAGCAGGAGGAGACTGGCACATTCCCCTCCTGAAGAAAGGCAGCACAGCCCTGAGAGAGCTGGAAAAAAAAAAGGCAGAGGAGAGGAAATGCCATGCAAAGCACTGTGCTGCCACCTGTGCAGCTTGCTTATACATGAAAATATTCGGTGAAATACATGAAGCCTTGACAGCTTTATGCTCTGGCAGCCCAGCCAGCTACAGTGCCTACCCAAAAGGTTTCCTTCCTTTCCCCAGCACTCCTCAGGCAACTGTTTGCTAGGATAAAACTGGCACTGGCCCAACTGTTGGCACCAGGGGAAGGATCCCGGATAACATCAGGATGTGAACAGGCTGCAAAGTGCACCACAAACCTGTTGTACTGCATATTTCTCAGAGCTCTCTTAGGAATAAAGAGATTAATTACTCCTATTCCTTACTTTAGAAAATAAATCTTGTTTCCAAAAGCTTTTCCTCACTAAGAGACGAAAGGTCAAAACGAATACAAGCTACAAGCCAAGTTAAGAATGTCCAGAGCTACAACAGAATGGATATTGGCACAACAAAGAATGACTCTGCAAACATGGGCAATTATAATTGCATGGTCACAAGAGCCCAATTTTATAAGAGAAATGGATACTGAGGAAGATACCCGAGTACTGATGAGATTTGACTCGCTGCTCAGGTACTTTGCCTCCAATTAAAAATACCCTGGCTTGTCCCCAAAGAATATTGAGATGAGGGGAGGGAATGAAGCCAAAAAACAAGCACAAGCTTTCAGTGATTTTCTCAGCTGAGACTAACAAATCACTTTAAAAGATAGCATTGCTAATAACTCTAATTTATTGTTTGTCATTTATTTTTCACCTTGCTTTGTGAGAAAATTCAAGCAGACCTATCATTTGCATGTTAAGTTTCTCAATCAGGAGATAAATGCTCTAAAAAGAGTCACAATATTGCTTGACGAGACTTGTCTTGGATCCTAGGTGTAAATACATGCGTTTAATAGCAGTACAAAACTGTGAACATAATCACCCACTAAGCCTGTACTTTCTATTTTGGCAATGTTGAGGTAGGTGATTTTCTGCAACAAATATTGTAGGAGTTTACCAAAAAGAGTTTATCATTTTATATCATCATAGACTTCTAGAATAATCACTCTTTGCCTAATATGGTCTTAATGTAGCTGTTTTGTGTGTCAGGAGAGAAAATACTAAAATAACTTTAAAAAAAATCTATGAAAATACTTCATTTTTGCTTTTACAGATGCAAACAACCTGTCCAACACAAGCTGTTGCAATGAATACTTTTACTGAAGATATATGTATTCATGTAGATTCAAGAGTTGGGGTAAGAATATTAAGTCTATTATGTTTTAAAAATCACAGGAAATTTCTAAAATCTGATGCCAGTTCATGCATAATAAAACTTATTTTAATAAATCATATTTTAAAGCGTTTGGGAAGACACACTGGGATCCGTTGGGCCAAATCAGCCAATTTAAGCCAAAGGGAAGAAAAGTAGGAAGCTTAGAGTAGCCAAAGAAACAAAATCAAAGCAACAAATAAACGCCTATCACTGAGGGCAAAAGGAAAAGAAAGAGCACAGCTTTTGCTACATGATGCATTCTGTATCACTAGCAACACTATTTTGTAGCTGTTAATTAAAAATAACCTGATTCTATCACTAGTTGTATGAACTCTGCCATCATACTAATTACCAAGTCTGCAACAGTAAGTGAACCTGCAACAGCAGCAGCGCAGAAAGAGACTTGTTCTTTTATTCTGTGTCACTTCCAGATACTGCGCAAAGCTTTTATCTGAGCACACCATGTGTGAGAAGACACACAAGGGGCCACTGCAAAGACAGAGCCTGGAGCCTGCCAGGGGGCTGAGACACAGCGGCCTATGTTGAAGGAAGAGAAGTTCAGGCTGGATACAGGGAAACTTTTGTCCCATGTGGCAGACGAGCAGCAGGCAGGTTACAAGGAGGCTGAGCAGTCTCTATCCTTGGAGGCTTTCAAAACCTGCCTAGAGAGAGCCCCAAGCAATCTGGTCAGACCTTAGAGCTGGCCTGGCTTTGAACAGGACATTGCACTAAAGACCTCCCGAGGTGCCTTCCAACCTGCCTTATTCTGTG